AGTGCAACTCTTTGGGAAGACAGCACTATTTAAATTTGAAGGTACAAGATGAAGAGTTGTTCCCCAGGAAGGAGGAATACGTAACTCTGAGATCACAAACTAAACAGTGGGCTGGATGACATGTGTGTGGCCAACTGGACCTAATCAATATCCCCACTGGACACAAACTGCTTCTTGAGTTATGGGAAGGCAAGGAAGCTTCATGTCTAGAGGCGAACTCTGTCTATACAGAATGAACCCTAACCACAGCCTGAGTGACAGCTAGAGAAGTTATTAACAGATTAAGCTTCTTTTACAGAAAAACACACAATTGTAGACACATGGAAATGAAAATTACACCAAAATTAACCTTGTAGGTGCCCATGACAGATGGTCCCAATGCATCTCAACACAAGTATTAACTAAGAACAGTTCTAGAAATATGGTCAAATTAGAAAAGAAACCACATATTAATAATATACTATGACAATGTGCACTTCCTACAAGATTAAAAATGGAAGATTTGACGTAGTATATAAAAGAAAATAAGTACATAAAGCAGAATTATCTCTTTAATAAAATGTCTATTTTCCTTTTTACTGCCTGGTTGGAAAATAAGTAGTGTGTTAGAACCAAGCTTCTATGCAAATCTTGTTTGGGAGACAAAAATCATTTAGATTTTTCTATTCAGCTGCTCCAGTGTCAGATATTTAAAAAGGTCTGCCCCAGGATCTTTGCTCACTATGATTTAGAACTGATGAAATTGATTATTAGAATTATACTATGTATGCTAAGCTGGTGGAAAAACGTGTAACTTCCAGGTTAAACCTGACTTACACTGCTTGCCTAAGTACATAAAAATGATAAACCATCTATCACTGCATTGATAATTTATGGAATTATGAAAAGTAAAAGTTATTTTTCTTTTTTAATTATAGTAAGGATGCAGATATAAAAACATAGACAGGAAATGAATATTTTGTTTTGTTAAAAACAATATAAACTAAAGGAGAAATGGCATAGTGCAATAGAAATATCACATAAATCTTATTTTTTTTTCAGGTAAATCTTATTGTAACCTTAAGTCCACATAAATTCAAGCTAAATAATGTGCATATAATTACCAGTCAAAAGCATTCTTGTATAAAGTCTCTTCTTTCTTCCTATTTTTTTTAAATTCCTTCCTGGTTTAATGGAAAGTTTTATTTAACATGAATCTAAGAATGAAGTTGATGGCCTATCATTTTATAACTTCTGCGATCTGAGCCAGCTTTGCTCTCTGTACTAGTTGGTGGCAGTGTAATTACATCATAAAGTATTTCATTTCCATTCTCTTACTGAGAGATTTCAGTGTTGACAATTTCTGCCAATAAAGAAAGAACCACAGTAATCTTGGATTCCATTGAAAAGAATTATAAGTCTAAACTGGGAACACCAGAGGTAATTTTAGAATTATTGATTATCTTACGATAAAAACAAAAATCTAGCTAGCGAGCTGGTTGTCTAGCAATCTATTTTCAGCAAGTTGTTTAGTATATATTGACTATTTCAACTCAGTCCTTGAATGATAAATTCTTCCTTTAATTAAACATAGTCTTAAGTATTGACTATAAAATTTTTTATGTACATCTGTTAGTAGCAGCCCCATTCACAATGGTAAGAAAATGGAAATGGCCCAAACGTCCACCCACAGGTGAGCAGAAATTGTGGTGCATTCACACAATGGAATAGTATGTTGCACTAAAAAATAGCTACTGCATCAATTACCATGTATAATGGGAGAGTCTAGAGAGTATTAGGTTGAGTGAGATAGTTCAGTCTCATAAGGGCAAATACTGTATGAGTCCATTATTGTGAGCACTGAGGGATAACCATTAAGATGTGAGTAAATGTTCAGAAGAGGGAAGGGAAAAGAGGCTGGGAAACAAGGATGGGAGAAATCACTAGCACAGCAGAGGTGAGTGGGTGCAGAAAGGCAGAAACGAAGAGGACAGAATCAATGGTAACTGAAGGGATGGCTGATACCACACAGACACAAGTATATATATATAATTAAGCATATAAAAGACAATGCACATGAATGATTGTATGAAAATTAATAAAAGAGTATATACAAATCAGTGAGGGGAAAAAAGAATCCAGATTTTCTCCTATTACCTAGGGTTTAGCCCAGGTCAAATAATGTAAGAATGAATGGCATAGTGACTGAAACGTACTTCAGCTGTAATCAAAAGTTTGAGAGTTTAAAGCTGCAAGCCACTCCGTGGAAACACGAGGAGGCAGTCAGCTTACGGAATGACTCAGGAGCTTGAAAACCCTGAGGCACGCCTCACTTCACCTCAAGTCTGCCATGCCTTGGAGCTGACTCAGGCGGTGGGTTTGACTTTTTTTGAAGATGGTTAAAGTAACTTACCATATGCAAAAAGAACAAATGAATAAGTCATCTCATTGTATATATTTACTTTCTCTTTAGAGAAAGAGTTAACAATCCCTTTAATTAATACACTGTGGATAAGAATATAACATGATAACAGCTGTTGATGAGCATTTTTAAAACTGGAGGGAAGGGTGACTAATCTAGATATAAGAGCAAGTTATGTTCAGCCAAGCATATGGATTGTAACATAAATCAGGCGTATAGCTTGTGGAGAGACAGGGCCATGTGCCAAAGACTGCCTCTTCCCACTAATCAGCTAATCTATTGTAGTAACATATGCTCCAGAAGAGCTAATGTCATATTAATTGTTAAAACACTGAGGGAAGCTGATTATTAAATTTAATATTTTAATAGTAAACCAAATGATATATCAGGATATGAGAGAGGCTTAATACAAGCTGAAGGTCACCTTGTGGCACTAAGGCATTCCCTAAGAGTCAACATTGTTCCTAGTTTGTATTAACTGAATCCCTCCCTCCTGGCATAAAGTGGAACTGGGCCTTATTTGCAAAAGACTTCACCATTATCCTTTGTTTTTGTTTTGTACTTCCTTATGATTTTACTTTGTCTACCTTCCTCATGTGCATAAGTTACATCATTATGCATCAGAGAGTTGGACAATGACTAAGGAGGATAGAAGGTGAATTGATGCCTTTGAGCTGTGGCGTTGGAGAAGAGTATTGAAAGTACCATGGACCGCTAGGAAAACAAACAGATTCATCCTGGAAAGGGTCAAACCCGGTTGCTCCTTGGAGGCAAGGATTCGAAGGCTCCATCTGACATACTTTGGATATGTTGAAAGGAGGGACAGGTCCTTGGAGAAGGACATCATGCTTGGGAGGATGGAGGGACAGTGCAGAAGGGGAAGGCCCCCTATGAGGTGGATTGATTCAGTGACTGGGGTAATCAGAATGGGTGAGTCAGAGACAGTGCGATTGGCACAGGACAGAGCTGAGTTTAGGGCTGTTGTACATAGGGTCACTGTGAGTCGTAAGCAACTTGATGGCACATAACAACAACCACCACCTTCCTTATGATTCTCAATAAATACCCAGAGAGGCATGGCTTGAGGCCTTTAGTCAAGAGAACTACAGGTCCCGTTTTTCACACTCTCTGTTCTATATCATTCCTGGTTTGTTGTTGTTGCTGTCGTTGTTATGCGCCTTTGAGTTGCTTGCGACTCATAGCTACCTTATATACAACAGCCCTTTACTCTGCTCTGTCCTGTGCCAATCGCAGTGTCTCTGACACTCCCATCCCAATTACCCCAGTCACTGAATCAATCCACCTCATAGAGGGCCTTCCCCTCCTGCGCTGTCCCTCCACCCTCCCAAGCATGATGTCCTTCTCCAAGGACCAGTCTCTCCTTACAACATGTCCAAAGTATGTTAGACGGAGCCTCAGAATTCTTGCCTCCAAGGAGCTTCCTGGTTTAACCCTTTCCAGGATGAATCAGTTTGTTTTCCTAGCATTCCTGGTAGTCTGTCTTATTATTAATAATTCTAAAATACTTTATCCTCGGTCTGCAACAAAACATGTGAAATCAGCTACACATACTTCAAGATGTATGTTTTTCCGATAGCATCAAATTCAGATTTCTTTCATTATGTTTATTATTTAAAAGTTTTTGTTGTACATTGTCCAGTTGGAGCCGACCCATTGCTGACCCTAAAGTGGGTTTTCAGAGGCAGTAAATCACACAGGAGGAGATTACACTTGCCTCGCTCATGAATGACTGGTGGATTTGAACCATGTTTCTTTGGGTTGGCATCACATCTCTTTACCAATGGGCCATCACTGAGAGGGACTTCTTGATAAAACCTCAAAGTATGAAAACAGATCTATCTTTGCTAAACATTTTATCTTCTTATATGTTTATAGAGTTAGTTTAGTTAGCCTGAACACAAGTGATTGAACTTACAAGTTGGGTGCTTAAAAACATTTACGGATTAAACTAGAAAATAAAGATTTTAATTCTTATGGCTGCAGAACTCTGGGTTCCATGGAGAGGTAACAATCCATTGCCCTGAAATGACTTTTTCCAACCTTAAACCTGTAAAGAAGTGATTTCCAAAAAGTCTCCTTTATGTCAAACAATATCCACTGCCTTCCAGGCAAGTCCGTTTCATAATGAGCTTCCATGAGGTTCTGGGGCTGCAAACCTACCTCCTGGGCTGCCTCACTCTATGGGCCCAGCTCTCCTCCTTTGGAGCTACCAGTGGACGTCTAATTGTAAACTTCTGGATTCTCAGCCAACGTGCAAAGCATTACACGGCCAGGGTGGCTTGCCTGTGACAGGGTTTAATTAGGCATTGCTCTCTTTGACAAATAAGAAGTATGAACTCAGATATCATAAAGGGATTCACCAAAATCAGGTTGGAAGCCATGCGTTAAGAAATAATGTTATGAAAAGACTGTCTTTTCTTGATGCCACCTAGAATGTTCATGATGTGGGTGGTAAGCTTCTTGGAGCATATATCCCATTTTGAATACCTTGACACTTTAATGAAAAGTGTTACTTGATTTGCAAATCGTATATTAAGTAAATCTCAAGTCTTATTTTCGCGGTACCAAAACACATTACCTTTTCTTGATACTGTCTCCTTGAAGAATCCAAAGACTGGATTAAAGCCGTGGCATGGCCAACGAACATGGCGTAGCAGGTGGCCCCCACGATCATGCTCAGCATGGTGATCCAGAGGTCAGACATGCTGACGGGGGCCTGGGCTCCATAGCCGATGCACAGCATGTGGCTCATGGCCTTGAACAGGGCGTAGGAGTACTGCTTTCCCCAGGAATCATTCTAGAACAGAAGAGAAAAGAAGAGGCTGAGGCAGTGGGCAACAGTATGGAAAATGAGTTATCTGTAAACAAAAGCATGATGCAGCAGTGGGCATGGGGAATCAGGCTCTTCATGGAGCATTTAAATGGGCATTTCTTACATGCCTTTTTTTTTTCTTTCAGTGTGTGTACAGTAAATGAAACACAGTATACTGGTACTCAATCCATGCACTGTTTTCTTACTCGGCTTTAAAAAGTGTTTGGTATTTAAAACAAAAATTAATTTTGTAGAGATAGTGTTAGCACAAATAGATAAAAAAGGAAGAATGTTCATGGGGTGGTATTAATAAGTTCCGAATTATCTAAATATGTATCAGTTATAAAACTTTAATTATATAGTTATAAAAATGGCATCAGTTTTTTTTCAGCTTGCAAAACTAGTTCTTTTGCTTTAAGATTCTTTGTTTCCTGTAGTGATGCAAAGTAGTTTAATTTGTCTGTTTAACAGGAGAGGAAAATGCATCTGACCTAGATCAGTGCTTACCTCTTTGAAACTGTTTTTTTCCAGCCATATGTAAATTGTATCTTAATCTCCCTGCTTGCCAGGACAGGAGGTGACCCTTTCCTGAGTTAGCCTTTATCTTTTCAGGACATGTTTTTACCAGTCATGTGTTAATGCTTTTGAAGGTTTCCTGTTCACTGTTATCTGTGTGAGAATGTTTTTTTCAGATGCAGAAATTCTTTGATTTTACTAACAGAAGTGCATTATTGAGTGAGTTGGTGTCTGGTCCTGGTATAAAAGCCTAATGACGGCTCCCAGAAAGAAGGCAGTATCTGAGAAGGATCTCACTGCATCCTCCCAGATCTGTAATAAAGTGCATATGGATATTGCAATCCATCTGTCTTTTTGTTAATTGACTATGGAAAGAACCCTTTGTGTTAAGTAAAAATGTAAATTATTTCATATTTAGTTTCAAGTAGTCTCAAATGGGCCATATTATATTTGGTCTGGAGCCATCAGTTCCAACTTGAAGGCAAACAACAGCATGTATTATACACATACCCGAGAAAAAGCATCAAATAGCTCTGAAGGACATAAATGTCACTGTAGAATTTTAAAAAATAACAATACTTGAGTTTTAAAATCCAAATGAATATATTTGTTTAGAACTGAATGTAGTATCTTTCTACAGTAAATGTTGTTACTAGTAAACACACATGTTTTTAAAACAGACATGTTGCTTTGAAATTGATTCTGACATCTGGTGGTGTGTGTTCCTAACATTTAACACATGTAGGTTATAGGCACGTGAGAAATTTCTTGGCTGCAATCTTTATAGGAGTAGCTTGGCAGGCCTTTCCCCCATATTCCACATTGCTGGTTGTGTGAGAGCATTGAAACTGGCCAACACTATAGTGTGTAGGGCATTGTATTGCTAACCCGGTTCACTGTGGTTAAATGTACGTCCAGCTCAGCAGGAGAAAGACAGACAGTTTCCTCCTGTGGGATTTACAGCCTTGAAAAACCAAGGGATGCTCAGCTATGAGTCAGTCCAATTCAACAGCAACACATTTTGTTCCATTTTTTTTTTTTTTTACCTTTGAGGTTGACATTGGAGGATGACTTTTTGGGCAACATAAGGACTTCTGTATCGAAAATACAGGTCTGATGAATTGAAAGTCCTTTGGTGAAACCCACAGAGAAATGAAGATTGGAATTCTAATGTCAAGGTTTGATGACAAACTAATCTTAAAGGATTTTTAAAAAAAATACTCCAATCAGGTGGACCTGGGCTGGGGGGTTATAAAACAAGGAAAGAATTTTACTTTTCAAAGAGAAGAGTGAACTGGGGGCAAGGGTAGGCAGGGTGAAAAGTGCAACAATGAATGAAAATCCAAAGTCTCTGTAAATTGTCATTAAAATTAATAATAATAAAAAAATTAACAATTAAAAAAATACTCCAATCAGAGGAAATAGACAAAATATCAACTGGGTGAACATTTTATGGTACAAAACAATTTCCAAAATACTGACTTTTGAGATGAGCTATATGATATAATCTATGTCATTTAAATCTTATTCCAAATTAAATTTTACAGAAATACACTGACTATATTGTACCTGCATTTAGGTTATAATGTATGTCCTTTTAATTAATTACACCAAACTTTACAGACCAGCTAGCTGCATAACTTATGGGGTCTACAGCAAGATGAAAAACACAGGTCATTTAATTAAAAGAGAAGAGGGGGAAAAAGTCCTGTTAAAGATAGTGTAAAATAATTTTTTCCCTTAAAAAGGTTTTATTTTATACAAAGCTAACAGTCTGATAATGGTGACTCTTTGACTTATAATTTCCAAACAAAGCACAGTATTTAGTGTCATAATTTTATGCAACATATCAAGGAATGGAATTGCTACTTGGTTGGACTCTCCCACTCTCATAGGAAAGCGCTAAGGCTAAGGCTTCCTAGAAGAAACTGAAAGAGAAGGCAGAAAGAGTTACAGTTGTTGCTATCGATTTGGACCCAGCCTTGGTGTGGTCCTGATGAGGCACATGGCATCCCAGACTGCACTGGGGCGAGCAAGAGTGCACCTTCCTGCTAGACCCAGGTATATGCTGTGTGATGTACCTGCGGATCTGAAGTGTTGCATGCACTATTATGCTCAGCACCTCTGATGCTGACATTCCTGTTCCATGGTCCCCAAAGAGTGACCTTACAGAATGTAAGTTCAAAGATAAAGGAAGTATTAAGAATTAATAAAATGAAACAATGATGAGTTTGAAAATAGATTATCAGGACATTAAACCTGAAACCAAACAGCCTGTGTGGCTGTTTGGGTAAGTGGATCAATGAAGTGAGTCCTGGCTGGCTCTGCCAAGTTATATCATAAATGATCAGACATTTAACAATTACTTTCAGGAATATATTTGGTTGTTGTTGTTGTTAGGTGGTACTGAGTCAAGTATGACTCATAGCGACTCTATGAACAAAAGACCTGAAGTCTGTTCTATGCTGCACCATCCTCACACTTCCTGGCACACAAGAGCCCACTGCAGCAGTCACTGTGCCCATCTAGCTGGGTGAGGGCCCTCCTCTCTTATGCCAACCCTCTTTAATCAAGTTTTAAAAGTCAACTTTTTTTTTTTATTTCGAAACAGAATATAACAAGGCTTAAAAGACCCACCTCATAAACTACAGAACTTCATAGAGCTGCTAACAAAATGAAAAATGACTAGTTCTACTGGGTTGAAAAAGGTAATGTTTTTAAAGGGAAATTCACTGAGCCTTAATGAAAAAGAAGTTCATATCTTACATTAAATGACCAATAAGAATGTCTACGTAAATGCACATTCATGTATTATTTTTATACTGTGCGATATGATTTATATAACAAGCTCCTGGAATGGATGACTTTCCAGTTTGGTGAAATCAGAGCTCACTTTTATGAACTTTATACAGAAATACATATTTATTCTCAGGAATACACTCAAAGTGTTGAAACTTCAGAAGGCTCAAAAAACTTCCTGAACAAGAAATAACCTGTAAACAAATCAATGTATTCCCGCCAGAAAAACTCACTTGTATTTGTTAATTAAGAATGACACAAATTAACTCGCTGAATTCCAATGTAATCACCAGCTGATGTACTAAAATTAGTTCATTACAAATCATACGTCAAAGGAAACAAAAGCTATATTTTAATGATCGACTCAAGGAGAAATCTGGATTCTTATTCTTGGAGTCTTCAAACCTCTGTGTGTTTCCGCAGTAGCCCCAGTACTCCCTTGCCTTGGCAATTTCCTCTCTGTATGCACTTGTCCTCCCATGTGCTTACATCAGCTCAGAGATTAGTGCAATTATGATCTACAGACCATGTTCCCCATTCTAAAGTGCAGGATTCAGTAGAGGTATTCAGCAATGCTGTTGTTGCTGATTGAAGAAATGGATAAATGCACTGGGTACGGGGAAGACATGTCATCAAGGTATTTTTAAGTATTCTGTACAACGGGAACAAAGTCTAATTTGGTGTCCAGTATAACCTGCACTTCCATTCTGTGTTCGTTTCTTTGTTTTTGAGAGTAAAAGATTTAGAGAGAAGGTTTTTGATCAGATTCCCAAAGCTAAATGACTATAGAATAAACTGTTTTTATTGTAAAACTTGTATTGGCTTTTAATTTTAATTATCTCCTAGGTGTGCACACAAATACCCATAAGAATGAGTTTAGACAAATACGTATATGTAATACTTATGTACAATGTACTCAGGTTATCATGAACTACATAGACAATTCTCTCCTTTTAATATATATATATATATATACACACACACACATACATATATACACCAGTTTATTTACAAAGTTTGAACACATTGTTTTTCACACAAGATCCTTTTCCTTCATTTCCTTTCTGTTTCCTTTCCATTTCCTTCATCCTGCCACTTTGTTCATAAAATTTTGTGACCCTATGATTAGCCCCACCCCATTCTCAGTCCTCTGCTTTCACCCTCCTCCCACCTTGGATCCTCATACTTGTTTTACAACAATAGCCTTAGACTGTATCTATCCTTATGGGACTGAGTTAGTTCACTCAGCATAATGCTCTCTTGTCCCTCCCAAGTTAGGTAGTAATTTACAAAATCATTGCTCCTGTGTGCTGTGCGGTATTCTATTGTATGAATGGACCACAACTGCTCAATCCATTCGTTTGTGGTTGAACATCTGGGCTGTTTCCATGTTCTTGTGATGATGAATAACACTGCTATGAACATTGGTGTACACGTTTCCATTTGAACCTCAGTTCTTATTTTCTTGGGTATATTCCAAGCAAAGGAATAGCTGGGTTATATGGAATTTCTATGTTCAGCTTTTTGAGGAAGAGCCAAACTGCCTTGCAGAGTGGTTGTACCATTGTACAATTCCACCACCAACATTTAAGAGTTCTCTCCAACATTTATTCGTTTCCTGTTAATGTTTGCCACCACTATTGAAGTGAGATGTATCTCATCGTGGTTTT